CTCGTTAGTCGCCGCGGGGTCAGCTGTGGCGAACGGCGGGTCTGCTCCTATAGCTGTCCAGATTGTTAGACGGCGGGCTTCCTCGCCCTGCCTCACCCAACCCAATTCACTAATATTTAGGTCGGTTAGAGCCGAGGTTCTCTGTGGTGCAGCCTGAATAATAGAATACTAATGGTTAGGGAACCCAAAGGAAAAGGCCCTCTCCGACCCGAGTACACCAGCCTCTGGCTTTGAGACAAGCGCGTCCACTGGTTAAGCGGAGGCTTTGGGACCCTGCTTTGAGCTCAACTCTAAATTCCACGCAAATTTGGAGTGGAAGACTAATACCATGCCATGGCACGGGGCAAGGGGGGTGCTTTGCTAGTAAGAACAAACGAATGTAAAGAACTACATTTGGTTTTCAAATACCACAGTATCCTATGATGAATGGGTTACTATCCCAACCAAGTTTTCAGTTAACGAAGCCTCATAAATTCTACCATTACATAGGGCACCAGAACATTGCCAGTTGCTTCCAAACTGCTCATTTTTTAAAAAGAGATTTTTGTTATAGGGTGCGTGCGCTCGCTGGAGAGACAGAAAGTGAGAAATCATACCTCTCCCCCCTGCAGTGTTGCAGGGGGGGGGGGGGGGGCCACCTTTTCCATTCTCATCTCAAGATTTTGAGCTCACACGTTCCCGGCGTGAATTTAAACTGCTGGGTCTGGGACTTGAACCACAGTAGACTGTGTGGGGATTCAGCAAGGTAACCATCTGCTGGTTCCCAAACTGCTAATTCTTAATTAGGACTGAGACTGATAGAATCCAGCTATGTGTTAGGCCAGTAAACTATTAGGAATGAAACTGTCTTGTCAAGACATCCTGGCTACTATGTCAGCAACAGTTTTCAAGTTCTAATTTTTGCCAGACTTTGTCATGAGACAGACTGCTTCCAACCATTTTGTGAGATTCTGTATCCATAAATGAAACCACACAGAAGACAGTGTTTATGTTTAAAAGGAACACCGCTTCATTTACTTATTTTTAAATTTCCAGATGATGTGTATGTGCGTGCGTGTGTGTGTGTGTGTGTGTGTGTGTGTGTGTGCTTACCAGAGAGGGAGAGACAAAGAGGTAAAGGGAGAAAGCACACCCCTGCCCAAAAATCAGGGCGTGGTCACGCTGCAAATCCCTTCTCCATGTCTTCATCCTGCTGGGATTTGGGCCACACACACACATGAGTCCAGAGTGTTCTTCAAGCAGCTGAGACCAGGATTTAAATCAATGTGGTCGGCCATGTGGGGTCTGGGTCTCTTAACCACTAGGTCACACAGCCAGCTCTACGAGGTACTTCAGTATTACACAAGAATAAAATTCTTGATTTGGACTGCAATCCATTTGATAGCTTTCCATTTTATCTCTACTGTTATCTGATGATCTGGTTGGTGAAAAAAAAAGTCTTCTAGAAACCCGATAACTCTAAAGCTGACCTAGATGGATTGCATTTACATGTGATGCTTTGGTAAGCTGTTACAGTGAAGTAGGAGTACCAATATCAGGTAAAAACAATATATCATGGCACCCTTTTTAGATTATATTATTCATGAGAGCAGCAGTTAGAGTAATGGCTATGTCGCTAAACTCCCATGTAGTCGACCACGGTTCGAGTCCTGGATCCAGTGGCTTAAACTCATGCCGGGTATGTGTGCATGCATGCCCAAGATCCTGAGATTTCTCGCTTTCTGTCTTTCTGTCTCTCCTTGTCTTTCTGGATAGCGTATGTGCCCTATAGCATAAAAACCTCTCAAAAAAAAAAGTAATATTATTCATGAAAGAAAATGTGCACATGTGAGAAAGAGTGAACCTGCAACAGGGTCTGGTCACACCATGATCCCCTTCCCCAGCCCTCCAACTCATCAGGATCCTAGGCACTTTGTGCATGCATATTTCGGGTCTCCTTAGCCGATCCAAACCCTGGGTCAGCCATGTGGCTTCTATCACTGCAGTTCAGTACATTACTGACTGGGCCATGGGGGCTGGGTCAACAGCCTCTTTCAAAGAAACGACCAATATACAGTTAATACCAGTAGTGTGGGACCAGCAGATGGCACAGTGATTATGTCTCTAGACTACCACTTGGCTGACTACAGTTCGAGTCCCAGACCTGATGGCTTGAAACTCATGCTGAGTGTGTGTTTGTGTGCCCAAGATCCAAGGAAGAAAATGGAAGAGAAGGGATTGCTGTATGACCATTCCCCTGGGGAGTGATTTCTCACTTTCCCTCCTACTGTCTTTGTCTCCCCCCCCCCACCCTGCATGCACCCTAAGGCAAAAAACTCTAAAAAAAGAATACCAGTAGTGAAAAGAGATATAAAAGATACTATACCTCTTATATTCTCTATCATTTACCTTCTAATTGAGGGATCTGTATCAAAAGACAAAGCACCAACAACGGGCAAAATGTAAGCGCTATTAGTGATCTAGATGTAAAGGGCTGTGTTTATTTAGATCATCATGGGCTAAGGTCATCAGGGGAGGGTGGGGGAAGGACCTGATCCTTGGAGGTTTTGCAGAATTAGAGTAAGAAGTATGGAAGGATATTATAGGTGTAACAGAACGCACAGATGGAACCCTAGAGCCCTGATCCCTGGGCTGTTGTCATTAGATAATCACCGAACTCATTCTGAACTAGATTCATAAGGGGATTGGCCAGGGTTATGGCCCACTAGGCAATGAGCGACAGGACTAAAACTGAAGAATTCAGTTCAGAATTCCACCAGGAGACCCTGAGAATATGTATTAGCAACTTTTTTTTAAATAGATTTTAAAAAAATTGTATTATTATTATTATTTAATTTTACCAGAGAGATTCAGAGAGAGAGAAGGAGAGTGAGAAAGCAAGCCGCCAGGTCCAGAACTTGAACCACAGTCGGCCATGTGGGAGTCCAGCACCTTAACCACCACACCACCTGTATTAGCAACTTTGAAGCAGATTATTTGTTTGGACGACAAAGAGGGAAAGGTTTAGGACCACACATTGGTACGTTAGTCAAGGTACTTCCATGAGAATTTAAAGATTTTGATTTTTGGTTTTTTATTTATTTATTTTTTTTTTTGCAGTGAAGCGCACCTGAATACTTATATATTTGTCAAGGTAATTTCTCCAGCGCTGATTTTATTTTCTCTTAAATTTGTTTTAGGTTGCACGATTGATTATTTACACGAATACATCGTCTCAGTGTTCTTATGCTGATTTTGCAGATAAGTAGCAAATCCTGCTGCACATGCGCCCAGGCGCTCTTTGCCTCTCTGCTCAGAGTCGCCGCCCTGAGGACAGCTATCGCAGGTACTTTGGGATGTTGCGCTAGGAATGCCCACACCTCCCACTGACGAGAATTGGCTCTCCGCGGCCACCGTTTCTCCCTGAGGTCCCAGCCAATCAGGGTTCAGCGGGAAGGGGCAGGACTGAGAGGCGCGCGCTGAGCTGCTTGCGGTAGCTGCTGCGGTTGCTTCGGCATGGAGGAAATTTATGCGAAGTTTGTGTCTCAGAAAATCAGCAAAACGCGCTGGCGGCCGTTGCCTCCGGGGAGCCTGCAGACCGCGGAGACCTTCGCTACGGGCTCTTGGGACAATGAGGTACCCCCACTCCTGGGTATGGGAGCCCCTGCCTCCCGCCTATCTCCAGGAACCGCGCCCCGCTCGCCGGCCCAAGAACTTCACCTCTCGCCTTTCTTTGTCCCCCCAGGCCCCTTGTCTCCGGCTCGGTTGCTCCGCAGCTCAGAGCCCGCGGTGGTGTGCCTGAACTTCGTATCTCGCTGTGTTTAAATTCTTACCATACCATCTGTCGGAGATGCTATTGAAGCCAGGTCGCCCGAAGGCAATGCATATTCTGCTTGCTGAGAATTGAAGCGTTTAATCATCTCAAGATAACATTTTCTGCTTTATAGGAAAATTATGTTTCACTTTGGTCTATTGGAGACTTTGGAAACTTGGACTCTGATGGAGGATTTGAAGGAGATCATCAATTATTGTGCGATATCAAACACCATGGGGATGTAATGGATTTGCAGGTAAATCTGGGTTGTATCCAAAGGGTAACTTAAAGCAACTGAGAGTAATACGTTTAACAATGCAGAAGACCTTAAGAGGTTGTCCAGTCTCACTCAAGTTCTCAATATATTGATTATGATTTGCCTATTATCATTTAGGTATTTAGTGGCAAAATGGGGGAAGGGTGATGTAGATTTTATATTTTTATTCACTGACTGTCAAATGTATGCCAAGCTCATGTACCATGTAAGAAATACTGTGCAGGGCAATTTACATGGTCTTGTTTTGTGAATTCTCCTTAACAGCTCCCTAAGTGGGGATTAGTACTCTCCTCTCTGTATTAAAGGTTTAACAAGACTTAGAAAACTTGGTCAAAGTCTCAAAACCGGATATAACTGGTAGGGATGAAATAAAGATTTCAAGTCTTGGTATGCATGACTTAAGGGACCCTGCCTTTTATTTTGTAGAAAGCTACCTAGCTCTAGGAATGGTATTTTTCTAAAGCTTATAGGTTAATGAGTTTAGAAAAATATTCTTACTATTCATGAAAATACTTATATTTATATAGCAGTTGGACTTTAAGATCTGTTAACACATTTGCATGGCATTTATAGGTTCTCTGCTTTTTAAAATTGCTATAGATTTACTGTTAATTGAATTAAACAAATGGACTTTGTTGCTACTCATATTTCTGAATTTATAGTAAGCACTAACTTTCTGTTTAGTTTTTTGACCAGGAAAGAATTGTAGCTGCTTCATCAGCAGGATGTGTAACACTTTTTCTTCATCATCCGAATAACCAGGTAAAGAACTTTTATTTTAAAAAAAAATTCATAGTTTAATTATTTTTACAAAGACTTTAAAAGGCCACGTTTAATGATTATGCAAATAGTAAATTTTCATATATACACATACACACATATATATATATATAGTTTATTTTTATTTAAGAATTATTTTATTTATTATTACTACTGTTTTAATTTGACCAGAAAGGGAGATAAATGAAAAGTAAGTAAGCCACCAGGTCTGAGACTTGAACCATTGTCTGCCAAATGGGAGTCCAAGGCCTCAACCACCATGCCACCTGATTGTCTCAAGTTCTATATTTTTTGGAGAGGTTTTTTGCTATTGGGTGCGTGCACTTGCCAGAAAGACAGAGAAACAAAAGACAGAAAGTGAGAAATCAACCCCCCCCACCCAGGGAGGACGGCCATGCCGCAATCCTTTCTCCATTCCCCTCTCAGGATCTTGGGCACGAATGTACAGGCACCCGGCGTGAGTTTAAGCTACCGGGTCCAGGACTCGAACTATGGTCCACTACATGGGAGTCCAGCAACATAGCCATTATGCTAACTGCTGGTCCCACAAATTCTATATTCTTAAAACATGAAAAGGAAAAATATTAACCACTTTTTGATGCATTAATTCTAGAACCGTGTTTATGTAAGCTTTTATTGAGCTCTGTGAGGTAGATCAGGAATAACTGCTTTATATTTGTGGATAGAACCCAGGTCTTAATTAGAAGGGAAGATACACTAAATGCATACTTTTTTCCAATGCTTTTATTCTGTGCCCAGGTTTAGGGGGGAAAAATCACTGTTAAGTACTAATCTTAGGGGCCAGCAGGTGGTGTAGTGGTTACGTTGTTGGACTCTCACATGGCCAACTACAGTTCAAGTCCTGCACCCAGTGGCTTGAAACTCAGGCTGGGCATGTGTGCATGCAAGCCCAAGATACCAGGAGGAGAACAGAGGAGAGAGGATTGCAGAATGGCTATTTTCCTAGGGGATGATTTCTCACTTTTCCTCTCACTATCTCTCTCTCTCTAACAAACGTATGCACCCTAAGGCAAAAATCTCTCAAAAAGTAAATAAAAACAATGATGATCTTTAGAGCCTGGTGTTAGGAACAAGTCTTTAAAATAACCTCACTTGGGACCATTATGTTGGCATAATGGCTATGTCGCTGGACTCCCATGTAGTAGACTGCGGTTCGAATCCCAGACCCAGTGGCTTAAACCTACACCGGGCACATGTGCATGTGTCCTCAAGATCCCGAGAGGAGAATGGAGGAGAAGTGGGGGATGGGCACGCATGCACATATGCCTGGTGTGAGTTGTTTTTTGTTTTTATTTATTGTTACTATCTTTTAATTTGACCAGAGAGAGAGAGAACATGAGAAAGCAAGCTGCCAGGTCCGGGACTCGAAACATAGTTGGCCATGTGAGAGTCCAGAACCTAAACCACTATGCCACTTGTCCCCCCCTACCTTCCCACATGAGTTAAGTTGCTGGTCCAGGACATGAACTATAGTTGACTACATTGGAGTCCAGCAATTTAACTATTACAGCATCTGCTGTTCCCCTTGTTAGTATTTTCTTAATGGAGCCAATTTTAAAAAGTTATAGACATTTATTTGTTTGATGTAGGCACATTCCAATTAAGAATTTAAAGAGTTGCTTTTGAACATCAACTACTTAATATTGAAAAAAACATTTCTTTAGCTTGAGATAAATGTGGGACATTATTGTCCTTTTGAACTTTATTCAGTAGCAGTAGTTTCTACACTTCAGTACAAAAGAGAAAAGAGAGAGTTCTATCTTTATCAAGAGGGGTATGAGGTGATTTTTAAATGCTCTCTTTGGGGGCTGTCTTTGTCGCCTAGTGGTTAAACACACCGGCTATGTGGGCATGCATGCCCGAAATCCTGACAGGGTGGACAAATTGAAGGAAAAGGATTACATCATGGCCATGCTCCACTGGGGGATGCATACCACCTCCCTAATGAGTGCACACACACACATACACTGGCAAATTAAAAAACAATTGTTTATAATGCTCTTATTGGAGGAAAAAAATGCTAGTTCCATGGAACATTGCTTTAATGATCATTTCTGATGCCTAGACTCTGTTGGTCAACCAGCAGTGGACAACAGCTCACTACCACACGAGCCCCGGCAGCCCTTCCTACAGCAGTGCCCCGTGTACGGGTATCGTGTGCAGTAGCCCAGAAATTGTCACAGTTGGAGAAGATGGTCGAATAAATCTCTTCAGAGCTGATCACAAGGAAGCTGTAAGAACAATAGGTAAGAAAATCCTGTTTCCTTCCACCACATAGTCATCGAGCACTTGGCGTACGCTAAGCAGTAGGTATCTGAGGGATAGGAAAATATACAAGGCAGGATCCCTTTGTCAAGACAGTATGTTGCTAATAATAATACATAAATTAAAAAAAGAAGCAAAGGGACTAGCCCCGAGGTAAGATAAAGCCATTCAGAAAAAGAGAAAAAATGTAGTTTTACCTGACTTTAGGTATTTATGTCAGAGAGATATCAGACGAAACAAGAAAGATAAACTGAGGCCAGGTTGCAAAGAATCTCTAATACAGAACCACACAGGTTACTTTTTTGTTTAATTTTTAAAAATTTATTTATTATCATTATTAAGTTTGCTGTAGGGCATGTGTGCTCATCAGAGAAAGAGAAAGGACATAAGAAAGCAAAGCACCACGTCTGGCATTCAAACCAAAGCTGGCCATGTGGGAGTCCAGTACTTAACCCCCACACTAGCTGCTCGCCCCGACGTTATTTTTTTGGATAAAAAATGACAGAACCAGGGAACCAGCAGTTAGTGTAATGGCTATGTCGCTGGACTCTCACGTAGTCGACCGTGGTTCACGTCCCGGACCCGGTGGCTTAAAACTCACGCCGGGCGTGTGTGCGTGCATGCCCAAGATCCCGAGAGGAGAATGGAGGAGAAGGGATTGTGGCGTGACCATCCCTTCTGGGGGGTGATTTCTCGCTTTCTGTCTCTCTGTCTCTCCTGTCTGTCTGGTGAGCGCACGTGCCCTATAGCGAAAACCTCTCAAAAAAAAAAAAAAATTACAGAACCATTGGAAGTTTTTGAACAGATAAGTAATGTATTCCATGTCACTTTAGAAGGATTATTCTAGCATAGTGGTTCTCAACTGCACTTCACACAGACTTACCTGAGGAGATTTTTAACAGTTGACCACCATAGACTTCTTGAATCAGAATCTTTAACTACCATGCCATCTGCCAACCCGTTTTATTATTTTTTAAAAGAATTATTTATTCGGGGCTGGCAGGTGGCATGGTGGTTAAGGGTGCTGGACTCCCACATGGCCAACTGTGGTTCAAGTACCAGACCTGGCAGCTTGCTTTCTCATTTTCTCTTTCTCTGTCTCTCATACTCACATTCCTACTCTGTCCTTCTCTGATCAAATAAAAATAAATAAATAGGTAATAGCAGTTGGCGTAATGGCTACGTTGCTGGACTCCCCTGTAGTCAACCGCGGTTCAAGTCCTGGACCCCGTGGCTTAAACTCACGCTGGGCGCGTGTGCGTGCATGCCCAAGATCCTGAGAGGAGAATGGAGGAGAAGGGATTGCTACGTAGCCATACCCTGAGGGGGTGATTTCTCGCTTTCTGTCTCTGTCTGTTTCTGTCTTTGTGGGGAGCTCACATGTCCTATAGCAAACACCTCTCAAAAATAACTAACTAACTAAATAAATAAAGTTAAATTATTTCTAAAAAATACAGAATTATCTATTTAATTTATTATTATTTTAATTTACTATAGGGCATGTGCAGTTACCAGAGGAAGACAGGAGAGTGAAACAGAGAAAGGGAAAGTGAGAAAGCAATCTGTCAGGTCCAGAACTTGAACTGTGGTAAGCCATATGGGAGTCCAACACCTTAACCACCACCCCACCTGCTGGCCTCATTACTTATTTCATTATAAAAGACCATTGCCTTGTGGCAATGCAGAGAAGTGGCACAAAACAAAAGTCTTTAAGTGAATGTTAAATTATTTGGTGTAAAATCTAACTTGCCTGTGAAATCAAGGAAAAGAACTATTATGGTAAGGAAGGACTTCAGAGAGAAGGAAACAGTTGATGAGGGGAAGGACACATAGACCTGGGATGAGTCAGCCGAATAGCGCAAATCATAGTGAGCCCTGTAAGAAGCACTGGGGTTTGGCCCAGTAGAATGTAAGTTCAAAGACCAGAGGGAAACGAGCCTATCTCAGATATGCAGGGTGATTGTCTCAGGGACCAGCAGGTGGCATGGTGGTTAAGGCACTTGACACTCCCACATGGCTGACCACAGTTTGAGTCCTGGACCTGGTGGCTTGCTTTCTCACTTCCCCTCTTTCTCTCTCTCTCTCTCTCTCTCAAATTAAAAATAAATAAATGAATAAATAAAATTTAATAAATCTTTAAAAAATAAACAGATTTAAAAATACAAAAGAAATGCAGGGTGATTGTCTTAAGAGGCAATAGAGAAAGAAGAATATATGAAACTTCAGCCATCCACTTGGAAAATAGTTCACATGTCCTGTGAGGGCTATTTTTCTAATCCAAGGTGAGTCTTTTAGGCCTATACATTACTGTGCATTTCTCTATAAAAACTTAGTAATGTTTCAGTCAATAGAAGGAACGTGTTTTAAGATTTTCTCCAAATTTTCTTTAAAAAAAAAGTACTCTTTTTTTAAATTTGTAGACAATGCCGATAGCAGTACACTCCATGCTGTAACCTTTCTTCGAACTCCTGAGATTCTTACAGTAAATTCAATTGGACAGTTGAAAATCTGGGATTTCAGACAACAAGGAAATGAGCCCTCGCAGATATTATCATTGTAAGTTTTGATTAGTAATTTAAGTACTGTATTGCAAAATTAACTTGCTCAATTGCAGCAACTCACTTTAAACCATATTGTATTTTAATTTTAAGAGAGTAATCCTTCATTAAATGTGATAAAACAATTTTAACTTGATGAGCTTGGTATGGCTGCCTTATTTTAATAAGTATTTGTTGTATGGATTTAGAGCCTTTCTTTCTTTGCTGTTTATGTTATTTAATAGAGAACTTAATTCTTCTCCTTAAGTGGTTGTATCGATGTGGGTAAAATTACACTCTTTTTTTTTTTTTTTGGAGAGGTTTTCGCTATAGGGCGCTTGCGCTCACCAGACAGAGACAGACAGAAAGCGAGAAATCACCCCCCAGAGGGGATGGTCACGCCACAATCCCTTCTCCTCCATTCTCCCTCGGGATCTTGGGCACGCACGCACACACGCCTGACGTGAGTTTTAAGCCATCGGGTCTGGGACGCAAACCGCGGTCGACTACGTGGGAGTCCAGCGACATAGCCATTACACTAACTGCTGGTTCCCGAAAATTACACTCTTGACATAACTGGGGGAAAAAATACAATCACAGTCTTTTCTTCTCCGGTCTCCTTGGAATTTTGGGTGCACACACACACACTCAAGGCACTGGGTCAGGACTTGAACTGTGTACTCAGCCATGTGGGATCACATAACCATTTCTGCCTTAAGAAAATAGAATGTATTGGGCCAATCCTACAACCTAGTAGTTAAGGGAGGTGACTCCCACATGGCCAACCACTGTTCAGATCCCAGCCCTGGTACTTGAAAAACACCAGGTACTGTGTTTGTGCCCCAAATCCCAACAGGATGGAGAACTAGAAGAGAGAGGACTGTGGCATGACCGTGCCCATTGGGGGCAGGGCCTTCTTCCTTTTGTCTCTGTCTCTATGTCTCTCTCTGTTAAACACATGTGCCCTCCTTTTCTTAAAAGAAAAAGCAAGCTGCATTTTACTGAAAAATTTAGTTATATAAATGAAGCATTAAATACAGTCGAACTGAAAAGTATTCTGTGTAGTTGCTGTATAATTTTTTAAAAATCTAAGAAATGGAAATGTGTTTTATACATCTTACCATCTTATCTTGCTTCCCATGTCTCTAAATTGAAAAGAGAGCAAATAATTTTGACCTTCAGTTCAAAAGCTTTTTTTTTTTTAACTGTTTAAGTATATTTAAGCTAGTTAATTTTATTGTCTTGGCACCATTAAGGCCAGGAGATCCAGCCACAAAGTTATCACTTAGTTCCTAGAATACAAGATGTTTTGGGACCAGCAGATGGCGTGATGGTTATGTCACTGAACTCCCACATAGTCCACCATGGTTTGAATCTTGGACCCGGTGGCTTAAAACTCACACTGGGTGCATGTGCGTACATGCCCAAGACCCCGAGAGGAGAATGGAGGAGAAGGGATTGCAATGTAGCCATCCCCCTTGGGGTGATTTCTCGCTTTCTCTGTCTGTGTCTCTCAGGCTAGCGCATACACGCCCTATAACAAAAATATCTTAAAAAATGTATGTATGTTTCTTGGGTTATGCAAAGAAACATGCTTCCCGACATATTGATGTCATTTGTCTCCTATAAAAGGACTGGTGACCGAGTGCCGCTCCACTGTGTTGATAGACACCCCAACCAACAGCACGTTGTCGCTACTGGTGGCCAGGATGGGATGTTGAGTATTTGGGATGTTAGACAAGGTACTATGCCTGTGTCTCTGCTAAAGGCCCATGAAGCTGAAAGTAAGTATTGTGGAGACAAAGAAAGAACATTTTATCGCAGAGTTATATGACATAAACCACTTTATATCACAGTTTACATCATACCTTTCAGTGGCTGAATTGTATACATTTAAATAATTAATGAATCCCTTGGGACCAGCAGTTAGCATAATGGCTATGTTGCTGGACTTCCATGTAGTAGATCGCTGTTCAAGTCCCAGACCCAGTGACTTAAACTAAACTCACGCTGGGCGTGTGGGCTTGCGTGCCCAAGATCCCGAGAGGAGAATGGAGGAGAAGGGATTGTGTCATGGCCATCCCCCCTAGGGGGTGATTTCTCACACTCTCTCTTGCTGGCGAGCGTATGCGCCCTATAGCAAAAAATAAATAAAATAAAAATGAACGAATCCCTTTTTATTTGGCATTTAAGTTCTTTAATGTGTTTCATGAACATATCCACAACTATGTGAATGTGCTTAGATACCCATCTTTATCCCCTGGTTTTCTTTGGATCAATATTTAGAAGTAGAATTGCTGAGCCAAACTTTCACATAATTTTTTTTTCTTGACTTTTTGGTATTTACCAGAGAGAGACACAGAGAAAGGGAAAGTGAGAAATCACCCCTCAGGGAAATGGCCATGCTGTAATCTGTAATCCCTTGTCCTTCATTCTCTTGGTATTTTGGGCATACACACATACATAGGCAAATGCACCCAGCACGTCTCTCAAGCTGCCAGATCAGGGACTCAAATTGTGGAGTTAGCCATATGGGATTCAGTATCTTAACTACTATGTCATCTCTTGGCCCACTTTCATGTAATTTTAAAACTGCGACACAAATTGTCAAGTTGTTCTACATAAAAACAGTACCAGTTAAGGAGGCAGCAGGTATTATGGAGGTTAAGTGACTAGATCCCACATGGCCACCAAGTAGTTCAAGTCCTGGATCCAGCATCTGAAAATCACACTTGGGCATATGTGCATGTGTGCCCAAAATCCCAAGTGGAAACAGGAAGAGAAAGGATTGTGGCAGGCCATCTTCCCAGGATGGTGACTAATCACTTTGCCTTTCTCTCAGCCCACACACCCAACAAAAACAAACATGTTATCATACTTAAGTGTGTAATAATGCCTTTTTTTTTGAGTAACAAACTTCAAACTTTATCTCAAGCTTTTAACCTGCCCAACACAAGGGCAGGTGTTCACAAATAGATTACCTCATTGACTTTGAAAGTTTTAACTTACTTAAACCCATCTTGATTCAAAATACAAAACAAAACACAGGGATGTAATTAATAATGCCCTTTTTCACCTCAAATACAGGCAATTTTTCGTATTTGTTAATCTATTGCTTTTCAATTTATTACATCTTCCCCCCACCCCAATAAGAACAAGAGATACATGGGCTATCTTCTGGTTTTTTTCCTGTTTGTCTTTTGATTTTGGTGGGGAATTTTTTGACTGGACAAACATTTTTTGGAGGGGAGGGGATCAGCATATGGCATAATGGTTACGTCACTGGACTCCCACGTAGTCAGTGTGGTTTGAGTCCTGGACTGGCAGCTTAAAACTCATGGTGGATGCATGTGGGCGTGTGCTCAAGATTCCAAGAGGAGAATGGAGGAGGAGTTGCAGCATGGCCATCCTCTCTCAGGGGGTGATTTCTCTCTGGCAAGTGCATACGCCCTATAGTTAAAGTCTCTAAAAATAAAAAATAAACTGTGTTTTGTTTTGTTTGTTAACCATGAATCAAAGGGAGAATTTTATCGATTACTTTATTCCCTCACAAAAAGATCAACTGTAATCAAATGAGGTGAACATTCACCTCAAGATTTTGTCATCTTCATGATAAAAAAGATGAGGCTTAGAACTGGATCACTTGACCCTTTCTCGTCTTATCTCCTCCCAGTTCAAAATGCTTACATCTCTTAATAGCCAGCGTTCTCTTAGATCTGTGGTTGGGCTCGGCACATTCAAGCCTCAGCACGATCTTTTTGTAGTTTTTGCCTTTTTCCGGGAAATAGGCTTAGTCTGTCCACCATAGCCACTGTGCTTCTGTCATAACGCTGCTGTCCCTGTGCATACAGAGAATCCTTGCCCTTTTTTACAGTGTCACTTTATGACGTTGCTGTTTGCTACACTTCTTACAGAAAGATCGGCGGGTTTTAGGGTCATTCGCCATGCTTGTGGGCCTGCTATCTGCACAGAAAGCATGAGGTTTTAATTGTATTTTTATTGTAGGCCATATGCACTCACAAGGAAGAGACAGAGAGGGAAAGTAGAAATCATCCCCTGGGAGGATGGCCATACTACATCCTTCTCCATTTTCTTGAGATTTGGGGCACACATTCACACACGCCCAGCATGAGCTGGCAGACAAACACACCCTATAGGAAAAAACTTTAAAAAGTAAAAAAAAAAAAAAAAAAAAAAAAAAAAGGTTTATAGAAAAGCCTGCTTGAATAAAAGTATTATAAACGTGGACCAGCAAGTAGTGTGGTAGTTAAGACACTGTAGTACCACATGGCCTACTGTGGTTCAAGTCCTGGACTTGGCAGCTTGAAAATCACAGCAAATAAACAGATTAATTAAGTAATTGATTATTTTTAAAAGAATTGTTTTATTTCACTTTGTTTATTTTAATTTTGCCAGAGAGGAACAGAGTGAGAGAGAGAAAGCAAGCTGCCAGGTCCGGGACTTGAACTGCAGTTGGCCATGTAGAGTCCAATGTCCTTAGCCTCAAGCCACTTGCTGGGCCCTAATTTTTTAAAAAAAAAAATGTATAAAGAAAGAAACATTGAACCAATATTGCGATGTCTCTGCTTAAGTTTCACATTATTACTTAAATGACTTTAAGATTATATTCAAGAAGCTAGGATGGGGAAATTATATTCAAGGAGCAAATAAAAGGATAGAAACTTGGGCAGGCCTTGTAGCGCAGCAGTTAAGGTGTGCATAGGGAACCATATCCCACATAGCCAGCCTTGAATCCCCGTCCCCGTGGCTTGACAAACATGCCATATGCATGTACACATATGTCCTACATCCTCACAGGAGGGAGAAACGGAGTTAAAAGAATTGTGGTATAACCACGCCCCATTGGGGGTGCTTTCTCTCTCTCTCTCTCTCTGTCTCTGGCGAGAGACATGCCCTCTGGGGAAAAAAGGAAGAGTAAGTATAGGAAGTTGTTTGCCTCCGTCAGGTATATTTCTACCCAGGTAAGATAACATTAATAATAATAAAAGAACAAATGAAGCTCTCCTAGACGCTGATGTGAGCTAACCTGGTGGTAGAGTTACATATTTTCAGATTTCTTACCAGCCTCTCTTAACTCAGCTGGTGCTGTTAACCGATGCACCCCATGTGACAGGGGCTGGTCATATGTTGTTTTGAATTTTTCTTGATTCCTACCTAGAAATAGTTTTATAGGAGTTTTCTAATTGTAAGTTAAATAAATATATAAAAACCTAGATTTTAGGTAAGCAGCTAATGGCTCTGCAAACTTTTTTTTGAGAGATTTTTGCTATAGGGCGTGCACCAGAGAGACAGAAAACGAGAGATCACCCCCTACAGGGGATGGCCACTCTGCTATCCCTTCTCCTCTGTTCTCCTTTCGGGATTTTGGGCACACACACACGTGCCCAAAGTGAGTTTTAAGCTGCCAGATCTGAGACTCAAACCACAGTTGATTACATGGGAGTCCAGCGATATAACCATTAAGCCATCTGCTGGTCTCTCTGCAAGCTTTTTTAATGAAACACTGTGAATGGAGTTTACAGGAACTGACCCAGAAAACATTTTTCTCCTGTGGAAGGTGACTTTCTTATGTTTTGTGGCACGATACTTAATTGTGGTAAAGTCAGAATGAATGTTACCACCTTCACATGTGCAATTCAAGGACTTCCTGTGCTGATTCTCTTAAGGTCATATAGCCCAGATTCATAGAACTCTTGTTAACTGCCCCTGCAGGTTGCCACTAACTTCCTAAGGAGTCTGGCTAGTCACTGGCTACCAGATGTCTATGGAAACACAAAATTCAAGTTTTTTGTTTTTCTGTTTTGTTTAACTAGGTCATCAGGAAAGTCATGCTGGGAACCAGCAGTTAGCGTAATGGCTATGTCGCTGGACTCCCACGTTGTCGACCGTGGTTCGCGTCCTGGACCTGGTAGCTTAAAACTCATGCCAGGCGCGTGTGCATGTGTGCCCAAGATCCCGAGAGGAGAATGGAGGAGAAGGGATTGTGGTGTGACCATCTTCCCTGGGGGGTGATTTCTCGCTTTCTGTCTCTATGTCTCTGTCTGTCTGGCGAGCGCACGCGCCCTATAGCGAAAAACCTCTCCAAATAAATAAATAAATAAATAAAAAAGGAAAGTCATGCTGTATTTTTCCATGTTTTTTTTTTCATGCAAAAACATGTCATGACTGTCCCAACAACCCAGTATTTTGTTTTAGATTTTCGCCATAGGGTATATGTGCTTAGTAGAGCCAGAAGGAGAGGGAATGTGAGAAATCATCCCTGGGAGCAGGGGCGGTGGCCGTGCTGCTGTTTCTTCTCCATTCTCCTCTTAGAATTTTGGCCATGGGCATGTGCACACATGTGTCCAGCACATTTTTCAAGTCACAGGGTATAGGCCTCAAACTGCAGTCGGCTGTGTGGGAGGGATCTAGCACCTTAATCATCATGCTTCCTGCTGGCCCCAAAGTTCCTTTCTTTAAAAATGTTCTTCAGTTTATAAGAGGGCACATATGTTTGCCAGAGAGAGAGAGAGAGAGCACCACCCTCCCAGAGAATAGTCATGCCACAATCCCTTCTTTATTTCTGCCCTTTTCCGAATTTCGGGCATACATCACTTGTAAAAGTGTTTTTCAAGCCATTGAATCCAGGACTCAAACCACAAAGCTGGCCATGTGGGATTCAACTCCTACAACTACCAGGCTACAGGGATGACCTGACATAAAGTTCCCTTTAAGTTCAGAGCTTGGAATTGAGCTGGATCCCTTCTTAAAATGGCTTTTTAAAAGCTGTCTGGGGGCCAGCAGGTAGCATGGTGGTTAAAGGCGCTAAACTCCCACATGGCTGACTGCAGTTCGAGTCTCAGACCTCTGGTGGCTTGCTTTCTCACTTTCCTTCTCTGTCTGGTCAAAATAAAAATAATGATAACAATGATTAAATTAATATATATATATTTTTAAATCTGTCTGAAACTATCTAAATTACTGGAACATTTCAAAGTTTTGATTTGGGAAGAGCTAGTTGCTACTTATATGACGTAGCTCAGAAGTATCTAGAGTTTTGGCATGAACCAACATTGGCATCTGCTTCTTAGAAATTCACTTGTAGGGCCCGGCAGATGGCAAGATTGCATAGTGGTTAAGGTGCTGGACTTCTACGTGGTTGACCACAGTTTGAGTCCTGGAACTGGTGGCTTGAAACTCAGTCCAGACACATGTGTGTGTATGCCCAAAATCCCAAGAGGAGGATGGAGATGAAGGGACTGCAACATAGCCATCCCCTGGGGGGGTGGTTCTCGCTTTCTGTCCCTCTGTCTCTTTCTCTCTAGTGAGTTCATGTGCCCTATGACAAAAATCTAAAATAAATAAAGAAATAAATTTACTTGTATACTCTTTATGATCTTTTTTGATCGATAGTACAGCCTTTATAAAATGAGAGGAATTGAAGAGAACTTATCAGTTTTTAAAAATATCTTGTAGTATCCCATTTTTTTTCTCATAAAGACTGTAATAGAGTGACTTATTTTCAGACTCAACGTGCAAGTAGATTCTTTTTTCAGTCTACATGCCATTAGAGAAGTGTCTTTTCTTTAATCCTGCAGCTTTGATTTTATCATAGGCTTAAGACTAAATTGTATGATGAAGGTTACTGGAAGAAAACACCTGTAGACAAGAGTTTTAATGTTCTTGCTCAGCTAATGTGCATAGGAATAAGTTTCCCTGTTTTTATTTCTCAGTGTGGGAGGTTCACTTTCACCCATCAAACCCAGATCATCTGTTTACCTGTTCTGAAGATGGATCCCTGTGGCACTGGGATGCCTCCACAGATGCACCTGAGAAGTCATCGCTCTTTTACCAAGGTAAAAAAAATAATAATGATAATTCTTGGGTGTAATCTTATTATATTTTAAAATATCAAAGTAGAAGTTCTCATACAGGAGAAGGCCAGCAGGTGGCTTGGTAGTTAAGGGTGCTGGATTCCCATATGACCAACTACAGTTCAAGTCCCAGACCAGATGACTTGCTTTCTCAGTTTCCCTCCCCTCACCCTCTGTCCCTCGCTGGTCAAATTAAAATAAGTAAACAAATAAATAAAAAATAAAGTTAAATAAAATAGTTCTTTAAAAAAAATGAAATTGATGGGACCAGCAGGTAGCGTGGTGGTTAAGGCACTGGGTGCTCCCACATGGCTGACCACGGTTTGAGTCCTGGACCTGGTGGCTTGCTCTTTCACCTTCTCTCTCTCTCTCTCTCTCTGTATCTCTCTAGTCAAGTTAAAAATGAATGAATGAATAAATAAAGTTAAATAAATAATTTTTAAAAAAATAAATTGTTCTCACAGGTCAGCCCATGGCCTGGTGATTAGGGTGATTGGATCTTATGTGGCCAATGCTGTGGTGGGATACCTGGACCTGGCAGCTTGAAAACATGCTAGGCATGAGTGCATACATCTCCAAAAATCTCCAAATGGAGGGAGAGGTGGAGAAGAGATTGTGGTGTAACCATGCTCCATGGGTGGTGCTTTCTCCCCTCTCTCTGTCTCCAGCAAACGCATATGCCCTCTGGCAAATTAAAAAAAAAAATTGTTCTCATATTTTTAACGTTAAAGACTGGCAGTGTTTCCATTCTTCTGCCTCAAGAGTAAATTGTAGGGTCATTGGAAAAGTCATGACGCATTTTTGCATAGAGAAATATAGAAAACTACGTCACGACTTTGCCAACAACCTATTGGTATGCTAAGACTTGCAGTTAGACTGTCAGCTACTTACTGCTGTACTGTTGATGAGTAGAAATGCAAGGCTGGCTCAGTTTACACAGGTTCTTCTTGGAGAGTCCCATTTACTTGGGCCCTCATGCCATAGGCCTATCCCAAGATAGGCCCTGGGAACTGTTTCACATCATGTTGCCAAGGCAGAGCATGTGGAGGAGGAAAGCTGATTTTTTTATGTACAAAGATGCTGGTTACTTCCCAGCTTAAGAGGCTGGGTCTCCTGATTAAAGTCAGTGGTAAGTAAAGGTCAGCCAGAAACTGTATACTCATAATCGAGGACAGGTTTTTTTTTGTTTGTTTGTTTGTTTGTTTGCATTTTTGGAGCTGTTTTTTAGAATTCATCTTTGGTTCCAAAGTTTATTTGCTCATTTATTCAGAAATATTTATCGAGTTCCTGCCATGTTTACTACACTCTTCTGAGTGTTGGGGTCTACAACAGGGAACAGAACAAAAAGTCTATAAACACACAGGACACATTTTCTAGCAGACAACAATAACAACAATTAAAAGATGCATCTGGGCGGGCTGGTGGCATGGTGGTTGAGGTGGCTGGATTCCATGTGCCAACTGTGCAATCTGAGTTTCAGATCTGGTAACTTGAAAACATGTCAGGTGTGTGTGTGTACATGTCTACAATCTCAAAAGAAGAGAGAAATGGAGAAGAGATTGTAGCACGACTATCCCTCAAAGGAGTGCTTTCTTACTTTCTCTCTCTCTCTCTCTTCTGTGAACACATGCTCCCTCTCACCAAAAAAAAAAAAAAAATTTTTTTTTAGGTAGATTTTTGTTATAGAGCATGCGTACTCACTGGAGAGACAGGGAGACAGAAAGCAAGAAATCACCCTCTGGGTGGATGGCCATGCCACAATCCCTTCTCCTCCATTCTCTTCCCGAGATTTTGGGCATGCACACACAAGGCCTGGTGTGAGTTTCAAGCCACCAGGTCCAGGACTCAAACCATGGTCAGTCATGTGGGAGTCCAGCAATGTAACCATTACACTATCAGCTGGTTCCAACCTTTGGCAAAATTTTTAAGAATTTTTAAAAAATAACCTGTCAGTAAAGGTCCAATCAGAAAAATAGAAACTCCCCTAGAAACCAAAATAATTGATTTCACATGAGGACTAGGAAAACAGAAGGGAACCACAGGGGTGCTGGAGAGCAAATGGAAAGAAAGGGTCATGCCCAGAAATCAAACGTCATTAGTACATCGGCTGCTGCACTCTTGGAAATGCTGTAAGGCTTGCTTCTGGATGAGCAGAGAAGGTGCCACCTCAGCCAGCGCTGGGTCTGCTGCCAGTGTTATCATCACCAGGCCTGGAGAGAGCTGCTTCGTCCCTGCTCCACCTTCTCAGTCACCCACCAGCAGTACCTCCCACTGGCAGAGCCCATCTGGACAGCAGATGGCAAGGGAGCCTGCAAAATGGAGTTTGCAGACGCACAGCTCCCACAGCACACAGTGGAGCAAAGAGAAGTGGGAAAGGGAACTAATATCTGAAAGAAAAATAACTGTTCCAAGTATACTGATAACTACCGATAGGTAGACTACAGCAGAATAGGATAAAGAATAAAGGCACAGGTGAGGGGAGCTACTAGTGAGAGATGGAAGGAGAAGCCACTGGCAAAAGTAACATCTGAGCAGAGACCCAAGAGGAGTAGAAGTGTGAGTCACACGAAGGCATTCCAGGCAGAGGAACAAGAAGTACCAAGGCCTGTGACAGGCAGAAGACAGCAAAGCCACCGTGGCCACAGCTTAGCCAGCAGGGAAGGTGAGGGGTAGGACATAAGGACTGGTGGCTGAAGGGTGGATCCCAGAGGACTCTGTAGGCTATGATAAGGACTGTAAGTTTTATTCTGAGTGTGATAGGAAGCCATGAAGATTTTTAGCAGGGGACTGTCATGATCTGACCTATGTTTTTAAAGAGTCACTGGCTGCTGTGGACAATGTATTCCGGGAGGATAGATAAGAAAAGTGCTACAGGGAGACTAGGAAAAAATCTTATCTCAGCTGTTCTAATAATATATTAATTTTTACACCATTCAAAAACAGTGTTAGATACAGTTTAAAAAAACAAACACACAAAAACTAAAGAGAAAATGATAAAATTTATCCAGAAAAATTCTCAAGTATGGAATGTGCAGCATGTATGAGGTAGTCTTCAAAAGTTCCTGAGGAAATGAAAATAAAATATGAATTTAATTTGGGGCAAAAAGTTTTGAAATCCAAGCATAGTTTTTTTCATAAAATGCATTTTCCATGAACTCTCTGAAGACCCCTTAAGCATGCCTATACTAACTTCATTTGTGGAGCCAGTTTACCTAAGGATTAGCTGAGAACTTGGTTGTATTTTCCTCCTTCTTAGCCTGCATTAGAAATTTTATTTTTACTGATTTTACTTATTATCATTTTTAAATTTGCTATAGGGCATATGTACTCACCAGAGAAAGGCAGAAAGAGAGAGGGAGGAAAAGTGAGGAAGCAAGCCGCCCATTCCAGGACTTGAACCACCATTAAATTAAATCTGCTTTGACTTAAGACTTCAAGTTTGTATCCTTATTACAAGTTTGAGTATTTCATATCACCAAATAAGCCTTTGGCCAAACGCCGTGTGTTACAGTGTTACTTGTTCTCTTGAAAGGTTAGCAAGTTTACATCATTGCCTGTGTAAATATCAGTAGATGTTCAGGTGTTTACTAATATAAAATTAGTCTTGAAATCTTTTTTTCTCCTTTTCTTTTTTTCTCGCAGGGGGAAGAACTAGTATTTTGTCTCACAGTGTTTGTAACCAGGCTAATGTTCACCAGTCTCTTATGAGTTCCTGGCTCAGCACTGATCCTGCGAAAGACCGTATTGAAATCACAAGCTTGCTTCCCAGTAGGACTCTGTCTGTGAACAGTCTGGATGTTTTAGGTCCTTGTCTTGTTTGTGGAACTGATGCAGAAGCAATTTATGTCACTAGACAACTTTTTTCATGAAAATATTCTAAGATTTCTGATAAAATGTGCTGTTAGCCTTTTAAATCCCAACTTCTGTGTAGTTTTATTATTGGAAAATGTGAGGTTGGCAGGGAAAGCATCAGTGAACTAGTGCTAATGCAGATGCCCAGTTTCAGCGTTTGTTAGGCGGATATTCTTACAGCAGTTGCAGAACTTGATAGACAGCTGATGGCAGTACATACATACTGACACGCATACTGCTGGAGGCATTCTCGTGCTGATGAATGCTTTGACTTCGCACACTTACTGACAGCTCATGGGACTAGCTTTTCATTTTTGATGTTGTGGGACTTAACACTATCAAGCCAGTAATAGGGTGTTTTAATTTTTATCAGCAGTGGAGTACACCAGTCCCAGGTGGTATTAGCCAGTTTGTGTTTATTGTTTTTATTGCAAATATTTTCTTTCCATCCTTCTATGTCTCATTTCTGTAATAACTTTAATAATGTTTCAGAAAGAACTGAATACAGGAAAAATGAGGAATTTGTTGTTACATTCAAATTTTCTTAAGCTGAAAATGTTTTAACACATCTCTTTATTAGAATATATTTGAGGGACCAGCACTTAGTGTGGAAAGAAAGGGTCATGCCCATGTCCCTGAACTCCCATGTAGCTGACCGTAGGTCAAGTCCTGGACCCGGTGGCTTAAACTCATGCTGGGCACATGTGTGTGCATGCCCAAGATCCCGAGAGGAGAATGGAGGAGAAGGGATTGCAGCGTGGCCATCCCCCCCTGGGGGGTGATTTCTCACTTTCTATCTCTCTGTCTCTCTGTCTTTCTGGAGAGTGCACACACCCTATAACAAAAACCTCTCCAAAAATAAAAGGATAGATTTGAACAGAATTCTGTCAACTACTTAGATACAATTTGATTTTTCCTAAGGATTTCTGTTTGTGTTTAGTTTTAAACATAGTTGAAAATTGCTGGGGCAGCCCATAGTTGTGGTTAAGGTGGCTAGATCTCACACTCTAGTGTAGGGTGCTTTCTCCCTCTCTGTCCCCCTGGTGCGCGCGCAGAAAAATGTTGTATTTTATTCTTTTTCTTTTTCTTTTTAAGTTTAAAGGGAGTCTTTACTAGCTGGCCAGCGACTACAGTATGAGGCTGGGGTGGTGGTGGGGGGGGCACCGAGAGTCAGAACTGTAGACCTGAGTGAAGTTTGAGCAGTCTTTTTTTTTATTTTTACTTTTTATTATCATCATAATCTTGTTTATATTACATTGGATTACATATAACTTTACAGTGAATTACATTGCTTTTTCAAAAGGGAATGCCATGCATGTCAGTCAATACAGAGACATTAATCTCCCCACTTCAACATTCCGTATCTTTTCTATGTTTTTCCCAATCACTATTATTTTTATTCTAGTTATTTTTTAAAAGAGTCAATCACTATTTCTCATTTTGCTTGTAAAAAGACTTTACCCATCATGAAATACTTCTCAGACCAATCCAGCTGAGAATACTATACATGTCATCATCAACACGTAATAATCCATATGTTTCTCATGAACGTCCTGCCTCTCTATCGTTCTCTTGCTATCTTTCTCTATCCTCTTCACCTCCCCCATTGCACACTGTCCTATTCTCGTTAAGTACCTTCACTGCTTTTATGTCCTCCAATTTTTCGCTCTCTACCATAGAGTGCGGATAGTCGGTATATATTGAATGGTTGTATTTTATTCTTGACAGAGGGTGCACACACTCACCAGAAAGAGGGGTGGAGAGAAAGCATCCTCCACACAAGGGGTATGATTATACCACAATCCCTTCTCCCTTTCTCCATCTCGTTGGGATTTGGGGCACACTCACAGGTGCCCAACATGATGTTCAGGCTGTCTGGGGCAGGATTCAGACTACAGGCCATATGGGATCCAGCTAGAGTCAAGCACTAGACAATGGGGACAGCCTAAACATATTATTTCAGCAGTTATGCCACCGTCTCTCAGTATCGAGTGATGTTAATAGAACTCCTGCAGTATTCATGGGTGCTCAAGTCCTTTAAAGTCAGTCCTTATTCATGGATTTCATATGCAGGACTTATGGATATGGGAGGGCCAACTCTATATCCATACTAAATGAGAAAAACAAAACTATAAATGGATTGCAGTGATTCTGGCTGGTCCAAAAGTCACTCTCTGATTCAGTATAAAGACATAGCTATGGATTTTCCTTTATATGATTATCTCCTGCTATAACCTAAAGCCCACTGAGGTAGACAGCCCTCGTTTTACCCCATCTGGGTATCCTCCCAATCCATTTGGAGGCCGATGTCTGTGTTGAATGGGCCTAAAGTTGTTTCTCGGTCCTGGAAGACCCTGGCATCCCATTGGCACATTTTCCATATACAAATGACAAGCCTACGGTGCCTTCTTCTCTGCTTTTATTGCAGCATCCACTGCTGAAAATTCTAAAGCTAGATTACTAGTATCCTTCTCAGTTACTAGCAGCAATGTATGAAATTTCCGTGGATCATCATAGTGAATAATTTGGTAGGAGACAGCCGGACATGTATGGGTTGTTAGAAAAGTCATGACACATTTTTGCATAGAAAAACAAAAATAATCATGACTTTTCTGACAACCCATAGGCTAAGAACACCAGCTTGAACTGCAACAGCTGCTTTTGGTTTGAGGCTGTGCTTTAAGGGGTGTGATCCTGAGTATAAAGGAGGATACATTTAAATAGTGTTACAAAGGTTCTTATCAATTGACAAGTTTTGTCAACTTTAGTGCGAAATATGTTACATAGTATAAAGCTAATTGGTTTATTGGTCTGCTTTATTCATGAAACTGTCAAATAGTTTCATTTGAAGGCTGCATCATTTCAGGGCTGGAATATACTTTGGAGGGCATCTCCAACCTAAACATAATCACCCTGTTCTGGTCTGTTCTATTGCTAGAATAGAGGTTTATTTAGCTCACAGTTATGGAGGCTGAGAAGTCCCAAGAGCAAGGCACCACCATCTGGGGAAGGTTTTTATGGCAGAGGGAAGGAGCAAGTGTCTGTGGCTCTCCTTACAAACCCACCAGGTTTCAATCATGGGGTTCTACCCTGGCATCTGATCACTTCCCACAGGCCTTACCTTTCAACACTATAAGCAGATTAAGTCTTCACCCTCTCAGCACTATTACAATGGCTCACTGATTTTTTTTTTTTCTATAGTGCATGTGTGCTCAACCAAAGACAGACAGAGATAGGGAAAGTAAAAAATAGCCCCTCAGAAGGATGGCCACATCACAGTCCCTTCTCCACTTTCCTCTTGGGATTTTGGGCACTAGTGCAAACGTACCTGGCATTTTTTCAAGTCAGAAGGTCTGGAACTCCACCTGTGCAGTCAGCCATGTGTGATTCAGCTGTCTTAACTACCACAGCACCTGTTGGCCCATGGCTCACTCGATCTTAATGTGAATTTTAGGAGGACACAGTCAAACTATAATATCCCTTTCTGCAACATTCCTGACAAATGATCATGCAGCCCATACTTGGAAACAGATTGTAGTCGTTTTCCATTTTGCAGCGTAGCTTCTCATTTGGACAGCTCAATGGATTCCCAGTGGCTGGGTTTTAATATGAGTAGAATCCAAAACACTCCGTAAAAAAGATACTGGGTCTTTGGGAAAGTCATGGTGCATTTTTGCATAGAAAAACAGAAAAAGACATCATGGCTTTTCAGATAACCTAATAGAATCATGTTACTGTGGGTTGCTGAACGGAGCCCGTCATCAATCGTGTTATATTTGGACTTGCACTATGCTGGGATGTTTTAGTATGGGGTTTCATTAAATAAATGATTTTTACATACTGAACTGAAAATTGCTTTGCCTTCTTACCTCAGGAGTCACAAAAATTTTTTTAATTTCTCTCATCATATTTTCAAAACTGCATAGTATAGCTTCACTAGGATAAACCTTTTTCACCCTACTTAAGTGCTTTCTTAGGGCAAATCTCCCTTCCCAGCCTTTCTCAGGATTCCTTTCGGGTGTCATTTTCCGTAGAAAGTCTTCATGGCTTCTGACAATCTGGGTCAAATTGTACCCTGCCTCAAAAGAAGGAGCCAGCAGATGGTGTGCTGGTTAAGGTGTTGGACTCCCACATGGTCAACCCTGGTTTGAGTCCCGGACCTGGTGGCTTGAAAATCATGCTCCCAGGTAGGACGGCTGTCCACCCAGGGGCATGATTTCTCACTTTTCCTCTCTGTCTCTCTCTGGTAACCATACATGCTCTATGGCAAAAACAAACCAACACATTGTGTGGAACTTAAATTGTGTTTACTGCAACATTTTCAGCAGCTGACCCCCTATTGGGCCGTAAGATGAAGACAGTGCCCATGTCTCTTGATAAATATCTAACAGTATTCTGACCCACAGTAAGTGGTGAATCATTATTACTTGAACTAAACTCTAGTTTTTCCTTTTAAAAATATTCTTTTTTTGCCAAAAGTCCTCTTTAAAGTATTATTTCCAAAAGGAACCTTTTCTGATTATTGCTTGCCTTGCTGAGAGTGATTATGACAGAAATCTGGCCATCCTGGTGTGGACAAGATACTCTTCTGTAATGCTGTTTCAGCATTTTAACTACTCTTCACATTTTTTATGTTAGACTGATAATTTTAACTACTCTTAACATTTTTATGTTAATTGCTGACTGGTTGAACTTAAAAACCTTAAAATTTTAGACATGATTCCCCTGTGCCACACTTCTTATGTTCTTGAGTTAATAATGCACGTGGTTTTTGATTCTTATTACATACCTAATCTTGTTCTAAGACAAATTTTATTTCAATATAGGAAAGAACTAAAAACTTCCTTTGGATCTTCAGAATCTGATTATCTTTAAATTTGTCCAGCACACTCTAAACTTTCATTCCATTGGTTCCGAGATACATTAAATGGGCTAAAGGTCTTAGGCTCACTGCTGGAGTCTTCCAAATGATTAGTGATACATGAACCTTTGGTACTTGACTGCAGTTATTGATATGTTTATAAATCAACCTAATTTAGGGAGATTCTACCCTCATGTATTTTGTTCA